CGGGGCCCGGCGCGGTCCCGTCTGAGCCCGGGCTGGCCCGCCCGAACCCCTCCGAGGCCTGTCGCACAGCCGGGCTGCGGCCGGGGGCCGTGCCGCGAGTGCCGAGACCCCCCGGGCAGGGTTTCTCCCCGGGCACGGTTGTTTCTCCCCGTGCCGCGCCAGAAGTCACCGCTCCAACTGTTTTCCCAGTAGCAGTTGCCAAAAAAAGCATCTTTATTAAAGTCCTGAGCAGAACAAAGCGCACACACGCTATATATGTTGTTACACTGGAACTTCTACAGCTCGAACTTAATGTGGTTTCTAACTCGAGGCGTTTCAGTTACACCACGACGCGAACAAGCCACCAAGGCGCAGGCTTTCCACCTCGTCCTTCTCCCGGAGCTGTCCTTCAAGGATTTTGTTCCACGGCTGTGATCTCGGCAGCACTCAGCAAGCAAGTTTAGCTTGCAATGCGAGTTCCTTTTTATAACGTGGATCTGCAGACTCTTTCACTGTCAATAGTGGTGTACAATACGTGAAAATATCCCCTCCGGTTCTTTTCCATCTCCCAGGGCAGCAAGGAAGCCTTCTTGTCTCCTCCTCTGGGCTAAGGCAGCTAGAGACTTGAATGTCTTTGGCTCATAAATAGCCAAATCAGCAATCATTTTCCTATTCAGCTCCACCTGGGACTGAACGCAAGAAAATTTGTTGGTTAAGTACTGTAATTTTTCGAAACAACACTACAATGCTTAAAGATCACATGAGGTCTTAAGGCAAATTACCTTTTTTTCTACACTGTACAATTTTGGAACTATTAGAGAACTGTCAGACATGACCACTCGGCCATGGATGTCTCATTAAGCCACTGTGTAAAATTTGTCTACTGACTTTCTCAAAGTCTGTCTGGTAGAAACCAAAAACTGAAAATAATCTCTTATTTCATGGAAGGCCGTGTGTTACAGGTTAATACATGCAATTTGTTTCAGCCTTTAGACATATTCAAGTTTACTTGTTGCGCTAGAAGCTGCTTGGTATCTTAAAATGTGTCCTGGAGTGGAGAAAGAAAGACTGCAGTTATCAGATACTCTTAACAACACTAGATATTGCACAGTTAACTGCACATTCTAAGAGGGAGGCATTATATAAAACAGTTTGCTTCTTCTGGATCTTTTACCACAGAATCTTATAAAAATATACTGCTCTGAGACAAGAATCAAAGGGACAGGTGTCTTGAGAGAAAAAAAGAGAAGAAAAGAAAAACGAGTTAGCTTTTAGGCAGTGCTTGGTTCTTTCGATTACAGTATGACAAGACTAACCAGGATAATGAGTGTAGAAATTTCAGAAACCATATTCTTGTCATGAAAACCTAGAAACATGTCAGAAAACCTAGAAAGTTATATATTTATTTGAAACATAGATAAAATGTTTTGAAATATGCTATGAATATATATGTAGTTCCACTTTAAGAAGCAGAAACACTACCTTTTTATTATGAGCACAGACAAGAGAAGGAAGTTTTAATTTCACAGTTCCAGTATCAACCAATTAAAACCAATTCCCCAGCGTGTTTTAAGAACAAGGGAAAAGGGCACCAATTCTGCATTGTCCATGCTCACCAGAACACCAAGCTAGTAGTGAATTGACTAGAGATTTCTTAGGGTGGTTTATGCTAATCCAAGCTTTTGATTTTTAAATTTCTTGAAGCAAAGGCAAGGCAGCTGTCATTTAATGCCCGCAGTAGCAACAAGTGTAAAAGCATTTTACGAGTCTCCTTTTTAAGATGCTCAGTAAAAGTTTTGGGGACAGAACAAAGTGTGAAGCAATAATGTTCACCAAGATAAAAGAGCATTATGCATATAAGGAAGAGGAAACAGGTTTAGGTCAGAACTTAGCTCCTAAAGTGAACGAGACTCCTTTCATAAGTAGAAGGTCTTTCATCACTAGAACTAGGAAGCAGGACAGTGTTGGCAGAAGTTCAGTTTGACAGACGGAGCTTTTCAATCCCTCCACCATGCTCTATGCCACCATGGCCTGCTCAGGCTCCAGTATGGAAGTCCCCACCAATATTCTTCAAAGATCGGCGGCAAACGGAGCTGCAGCTTCAATTCCTTGCAGGTACATTCTTAGGCAGTAACCAGCAACCCTTTGATACGTTTTGTCAGACTACATCTACCTGAACGATTTCAGAGTTTTAAGAAATTAATTTGCCTGGCACTAGAAGACATTTTCTCCCATTTATTGTTTCAAAGTAATTATTCTTCAAGCACCATTCTTACCTTAATCAGATTGCTTATGAAAGCTGGGTATTTCAAACCATGTTCAAGAGAAGCTGCTTCAATCCTTGTGATCCAAAGCTAAAAGTGTAAAAATTAACATCTTGGATGATAAAGTACTTTAGAAGTAAACCTTTTGTCATGCCAATCCGCGCACACTTAGTAAGTATAACATTTTCAGACCTACAGTCTTCTCAGTGCAACGTATACATATATGAACTCCAGAATATGAGCTGTTTCAGACCACGGAGGGACTATGCTTACTTTAAATTCATATTTTTCACCCACTGGTAAAACATTCTGAGAGAACCCCCCAGGAAGGAAAATGGCTATTTCAGTTCTGCTCTTCTCCCATTTTAATGTTTACATCTATCTAACATTTTGCGCTTTACCGCTCTGAGGAATCTCTTCTTCTCTCTTCTGGCCTTTGTAGACCTCACAAAAGCTCTCCGAACACTTCGTACAGCCAGCTTATAGCAGCGGTTCTTCCTTCCACGAAAATGCTGAAACAAAACCAACATGTTCTTGTTCAGTTACCTTTAAGGCTATTAAACCCTTCAGTAATACTGATATATACTCATTTGCATTTCACAACTCTTCATAACAAGGATCACAAAATACTTCCCAAACATCAGCTAAGCCTTCAGTTGGCATATAATGTAAATATTCTTTCCTTGTTTCACAGCAGGCAAAACCTGAAGCTGTAAAGTTGGAAAAGGCTGAAAAATTTCAGTCCAGCAGAAGGGAGCCAAAACCAGACCTCATTTTAGGCTGTAGTTCCAGAGGGAAGGCAACCACAAAAGCATCTTCAGTGCTTTCAGCTAACCCCTAAACTCACACATTTATTCTCATTCCTGAGCTAAACTCTCAGTTTCGTCAGTATGAATACAAGGATGGGCCAGAAGCCTCCAATATGTCAAAAACATTGCAGTGGCCAAAACAGAAAGCATAATGAAATGAGTTTACTGGAGCTACCACTGACATCCATCTCACATGAAGCAGGAAGAAACAGCCAGTCGGAGAAATAAATAACTACTACTAGTACTGTGGGCAGCTTAGGCACTACAAGACCAAGATACTGTCACTTACTTCAACGTTTTTAATCTCAAAACTACAGAAAGATGTACTACTTCCTAGGATGCCCTTGAAAAAGGTTCTTCCCAAGCCTAGGTAGAATAGCTTGAACCTCAGTTGAAATCATGCTGTGAAGCAGTCTCTTTCACCTTCTGAAATGCACTTGAAGAGCAGGATTAAAATCTTTTTTTTTTTTTCCCCTGCTCCTTTGCTCAGTTGAAAAAAAAAAAAAAGCCACACCAAAATCAAAAACCCACCAGCAACACTACTCTACAGCGTGGTGTATTTACAGACTGCTCTCCCCTCAGTGCTCGTATTCCTTCCACCCCAGGGTTCTCACTTTATTCATGCCCATCCACATGCACACGTGCTGTGTAGTGGCGCAAACACTTCACCTCCAGGTTCAATCAAATACAGAAAAATTTACCTACACAGAAAATGCTCCACTGGCATGAGTCGGCTTCACGAAACACCGACGTTTCTAGGAACAAGCGCCACTACTTTGCTCGCTGCCCGACTCTGCCCTGCTGCGGAAAGCCTTACTGACACCGGAACACGACGGCGGGCCGCTCGCTGGCTCCGGGGGCCCGGGGGGGACGGG